TCTAAAAAATCTAGCTTGATCAAGTGGCGCTATAGTTTTCACGTGACAAATAAAAAAAATTCGTTTGTCTTTGCACGGTTGTATCGTAGTGAATTTTAATAAAAATTCAATTAAAAAAAAAAAAATACGTAAACTAGGCTACTGATATGAAATGCGGACCCAGTTCATCGCATTCTTGAACTAATAAAAAAGGTCCGGTCTTGAAATATCAATTTGTTCGGGAGTAATCGTTGGTACATCCAAAATGGGGTGACATCCGGACGTCCACGTAAAATTTTTTTTAAAACGTTTTTTTTTTATCAAAATAGCTACATGAAATGATTTTAGAAAATAAAAGATGGTCTAATTTAAGTGTTTTCTCGGTATACATCTACTTATATTATTGTATAAATGTAATATGGTTGTGATAGAGACATTTAAAGATCACAAAATTGCTTGAATTTGACGAGTCGAGTATAAAGCACAACCTCACGCGCTTCGCGCTATGAGGCATGCAATAAAATTAGAAAATCAGTTAACAATTATGAAAATATATCAATAACACCGGCACACAAAAAAAATTAAGTAGAATGTGCATTTGACCGGACCTACCTACGGGTACGTATTTTGGTCCGCTGAATCCGAATTCAAGGTCAGTTTGACCCCTTCACCCTCGAAATTTCGAGAAAACTTCGAAAAACTGTAAAAATGATGAGAATCGGCAGTTTTAATGATAAAAAAATTTTTTGGAACTAAACTAAGCGTGATTTTCATGTATTTCGATCCGCTGAATATGAATTGAAACTTTATTGAGACCACAAGCCATTTTGAATGTAAAAAAATCACACAAACCCTCCAAAATTCGGAAAAAAGTAATTTTGTTGGTTTTTTTACTCTCGTTTTTTACTTTTGAAGACTTAATTGCTTGTGCCTGTAACCAGGACACCTTCACGTGGTGACGGTGGGCAACAGAACCATCTGGCAGAGCCCCTGGGTTTACGGCGTGTGTGCCGTCATGGCAGGTACAAGTGATAAGTACTTTACGATGCTGGAAGTCGGAGCCCCAGTATCGGCGTCTGGTTAGGGTGAGAAAGCAGGCTCGCAGGCGTCGTCATCAAGTGACTGCAGCTCTTCAGAAGTGGGAAACTTGGCTACTGGAGAGTATACTATTACAAGAAGTAATTCTCATCTGTGTAATAAAAGTCCTGATTCATTTTGTTACATTTGTGGAGTATTCAATTTGGAAAGGAATCAAAGATCGTTATCTGATAAGATCAAACAAATTTATGAAAAATGTTTTGGTTTCCAAATTACTAATTTGGATTCAGCATGGGTTCCACATACGATTTGTAGTCGATGTAACATGATGTTAACCCGGTGGGAAAAAAACAAGAAACAGGACAACTTGAAATTCACAATACCAATGATATGGTCTTCACCAACTGGTTTACAGAATTGTTATTTCTGTATGACAGATACTAACCGGGTTCACCTGGAATACAAAAAACAAAATGGTATACGAGAATGTTTCATCAGCTATTAAGCCACAAAAAATAGAAGTTGTCAAGAAAATTAATACGGTTGAAGAAATGGATGTAGAAGAAGACGATACGCTAGTTGAAGAAAGTTCGGAAGAAGAATATTCAGAAGATGACGTGTACTTACCTGGTGGAAAAACAAAATACCCTGAAACGTTTAGCTGAGAACAACTTAATGATCTGGTTGTGAACTTAATTAAAAAAATTTGTTGGCTAAAGGTGTATCAGTGACATTCTATCGAAATAGGGAAAAAAAATTCCGGAAATTTTTTATAAACGACGATCAAAATTCGGTGGTATACTGTTTAGATGTTAAAGCTTTAGTTGATGAATTGAAACCGAACACGTATAAGGACGATGAGTGGAGACTTTTTATCGATTCATCGAAACGAAGTCTTAAAGCTGTTTTGCTTCATATTGGGAATGAATTTGCGCCGATTCCAATAGCTCATTCGACAAAACTGAAAGAAACTTATGAAAATTTACAGATTGTATTGAAAAAAATAAAATATTCAGAGCACAACTGGAAAATTTGTGGAGATCTCAAAATTGCAACACTTCTTTTAGGTCAGCAATCGAGATTCACCAAATATACTTGCTATTTATGTTTGTTTGATAGCAGAGACCGGAAAAATCACTATGAAAAAAAACGAATGGCAATCGAGATCTGCATTGAATCCAGGTTCCCATAACGTTATACGACCACCCTTAATTCAGCCTTCCAAATATTTGTTGCCACCACTACATATCAAGTTGGGACAGTACGTCATAAAACAGTACGTGAAAGCTCTGAACAAAGATGGTGATTGTTTTGCGTAATTGAGAGGAAAGTTCCCTGCAATAAGTGATGCGAAATTGAAATAGGAAATTTTTGATGGACCCCAAATACGATTTTTATTTCAGGATGCAAATTTTGAAGGAACAATGAACGACACAGAAAAAGCAGCTTGGGTAAGCTTCAAAAATGTTTCACAAAACTTTTTGGGAAATAACAGAAGTGAGGATTACAGCACTTTAGTTGACGCATCGCTGAAAAACTACAAAAATTTGGGTTGTTTAATGAATCTCAAATTACACTTTTTAGATTCTCATTTTGACCACTTCCCTGACAATTGGGGAGACTATAGTAAAGAACAGGGAGAACGTTTTCACCAAGACATCAGTGAAATGGAGAGTAGATACCAAGGAAATTGGAGAGTTAACATGATGGCAGATATTTGTTGGATGTTAAAAAGAGAAGTACCCGAAGAAAATCGTAAACGAAAGAGGAATCCACTACGAAGATCATTTGAGGATAAAAGAGAGCGATACAAACGGAGGAAAGTTTAGGATTCGTAAAAATCATTTCTTTCTATCTTTTTATATCTTGTGTTTTTCACAGATTTCAAGTTATTTGATATATCTACGTTATAGAGTATTTATTTTAGGCATTAAATCATGTTCAATCAATTTTTTTTCTGTTATGAATGGTAATTTTTACAATTTTTTCAAATTTTTCCAGCTTTGGAGGGTGAATAGACTACAAAAATTAAGATGCGAATCGAAGACATCAAAAGATATAAAATTTCATCTGAATTGGACCAGAAGAAGTTTTTTTATCATGAAAATTATATTTTTTGGGAATTTTCGAGAGTTTTGTGTGGTTTTTCACATTTAAAGTGGCTCGTGGTCTCAATAAAGTTTCGATTCATATTCAGCGGATCAAAATACATGAAAATCACGCTTAGTTTAGTTCCAAAACATTTTTTTATCATTAAAACTGCCAATTTTCATCATTTTTACGGTTTTTTGAAGTTTTCTCGAAATTTTGAGGGTGTAGGGGTCAAACTGACCTTGAATTCGGATTCAGCGGACCAAAATACGTACCCGTAGGTAGATTCGGTCAAATGCACATTCTACTTAATTTTTTTTGTGTGCCGGTGTAATTTATCATCTATCTCTTATTATTAATATTCTAAAATTCTATTCATCTAGTACCCAATACTCTTCTTAATTAATTATGTTTCATGCTTCTAAATTAAAATAAACGCACAGCAATTCACTTTAATTTGAACCGCAAGATTGATCATTTACACAGCACCACCTCGAGTATGCACACCTATTCCAACGTATAGTTTTACGCACGGCAATAAAACGACGTTGAAGGCGGTTGATCACGCACACACTTGGGATACATTATGCAAACAAACAACCTCACAAACTATAAGCTACTTGATGCCGAACACAAGCGTCGCATAGCCAAAGTTACCAAAATAGCTTTAATATGTATTTTATATTGATCAATATTACTGACATTTCAAAATACATTTTTATAATAATTAAAAATTAATCGTTCACTTTTAAATTTAATTTAAAGCATCTTCCAAAAATCAAAATCTAAACATACTATTGTAATACACGTGATTCTCGTGTACTATGATTATTATGACGCTGTTGGCCGACATCTTGAATTTTTAGCGTCTACCGGCCTCGCCAGCGATTTCATCATAAAACAAAAGTCAATCTACTTAAAAAAAATCTATTTGTCACCATCTAATATACTAAAAAATATTTTCAGACATCTATGAATTTATTTAATTAATTAAATAAATATTTATCAAGTCTTTCTAAGTTATCTAAATTAAGTTTCTATTAGAACGTATTCATTACATTTTATATTTTCTTTGCATGCATGCTTTTGTTCGTCAATAATTACGTCTTATATTCTTTTATTGATTTTCCGGAATTTCTTTTCTAAATATTCATAAATACTCTTACCTTGTGATTAATCACTTCACCAAACTTTATTTTTATTAATAAATCAAACACGTACACAGTGAAAGCGTGTACTGGGTAACATAACCTGTTGGAATAGTGAATAAAGTTTAACACAAGGTTTTAATTAAACTGAATCTAGGTTTATTTATTCTTCTAATAAATATAAAAACAAAATCAAATAATATACGTATTATAAAGTTAACAATATAGAGAAAAGTACTTGAACCGTAACTACGTAGTAGCACGCAGAACAGTCAAGCGTCCAAGCAACATGTGCAAGCCACAGCGAGCAAGCGGGAGAGTGTGTCGTATGCGCAGCTAGGCTGCGCGTAGACCGACGCCATCTCAATAAAATAATAATCATAAGTAAGTTGTCGCTTTGAGCGGCGAATATAAATATAAAATATAATATAAATAATAAATAATAATTAGGAAGTGGACTTGAAAATCTTGTCCTCTTAACAGTAGTCAAACAGAATTATTTAACAATTTCGAAAGAAAATAAGAAACTTAGAATTTATATATTGTGATATTAGGGATTCATAGCAAGAAATCAAATTCACATAGCTATTATTAATGCTACTTTATTTTTTTCAACATTTTTGTAGACGGTTCATCAATGAAACTTCGTCACTTCAACATGATTTATCATTTTCAGAATATTTGTCTTCTAAATAGGAATCATTCAGTATCAATTTTGGCACTTCCGATAAATGAGCGTAGATCTGCAAATTATAAACATCTTAATATGAGTAAATAAAGTTATCTTAAAGTTTACTTTTTGTATAAATATTACTATGTGAATATAATGAATATACTATCTGAATAGATATAATAGATTTTCAGTTAACACTGCTTGAATAGTTAAGATTTTGAATAAGCAGCTTAGAGAATAAATATCGATAGGTTTATCACCTCAAGCATTTCTACCAGACTTTGAAAAATCATGAACGAAAAACAATTGTACAGTTTATGTAAAAAAATATTTAAAAAAAAGTTTTCTCAAGTTTATGTCCAGTGATAATAATTAAGGATATCAAACGTCGAATTATTAGTTCGATATTACTTGAATAGTCGATTCAAAACTTGATAGATAATCAAAGCTGTATTTCTTACCTGATTAGTTATATCAATGTTCTGATTAGTTATAATTATGTCATTATTATAACCAAAATCAGGATTGTCTCCAATGCCAACGAAATCTGACTCCCCACTCGTTTGGCTTGAAAAAATTAAAGAAAATTAGTAGAAAATCATTAGTTGAGTTTTTGTCCAGTTATCTAGTCGAGAAGTTAATTTCCTGCGAAAAATAGATACAAGTCTCCCAAAAATACGATTGATGGATTAAACGATCCGAAATGGCGTCTACAAGGAGATGTATTTTGGATTTTTTCTGGAAAAGAAAATTATAATTGCTATTAACAAAAAACCCTTAAAAAATGAGCCGTTCAGCTTTTTGGCAAAATCTCAAAAAGTATAGGTGATAGCTTAAATATTAAAAAAGTTTCTGAAAGAGCAGAAAGCTTTAGTAAAAAAGTTCTCGACTCCCGGAATTATAGCTCCAATATTTATAATTTTTAATGAACGTTGAAAATCGGCTTTTGCGCGGCAGTTTCGGCATGCACGTGCCGCCACTCTAGTGAGCGTAATTTTTAAATAATTTTTTTATGCAATTAAATATTAATTAAAAAATTTTGGTGTCATCTAGACACTTCAAAGAATATGATTCCGCGGTAATAAAAGCTCTTCGAGCTCAGAAATACAATTTTTGTGTAATTTTGAGCTCTCCGAGCTCAAAAGTCTGATAGGAGTTTAATAAAACACTGTTTTTTGAAATTTCAAACTGCAATAACATTTGAATGGATGAACCAATTTGACGTGGTTGGTGACAGAAGTGCTTACAGAGTTACGTTCCGTCGAGAGAAAAAGAGCAAAAAAAAAAGAATCTAGAAGGAAGATAACATCTTAGCCACCAGAAGGAAGAGCGGCAGCTAATTCCTCCCCCCGCGAAGAAATGCCTTACGGCGGTACCATGGGGGATCAGAGGATAGAAGAGAAAGGGGTTTGGGGTTTAGTGGGTAGGGGCGTCAGCGTCGAGTTTTAGTATGACGCTGCGTCGAGTCACCACATATCCAGGCCAAACAGCTATGCTTAGAATCCGTAAAAAGGATTCCCCCCCCCCCTAAGGGAAAAAAACACACACATACGAACACACACACGCACACACACACGCACACACACACGCACACACACGCACACGCACACACACACACACACACACCCTCGCGGGAATAGTCAGGGAAGCTTTCTAGGACCTCAAAACGTCGAGATCTGATGGAAACTCGATTTTCAAAAAACGGGGTAAAACCAATAACTTCCCGATTTTTGAAAATTTTCAATTTTCTTCGTGGGAAGTTAAAAATGTTATCAACAATTGAATAACTTTTTGAAAAATAGTGATGCAACTTTCATTACCGCGGAATCATATTCTTTGAAGTGTTAAGATGACACCAGAATTTTTTCGAATTTTTTAATTAATATTTAATTCCATGAAAAAATTATTTTTCATATAACCTGCATTGAAAATGCGAGTTTCAATGCCTACTGAGCCAACCGAAACTATTCAATTTCAGACTCGCTTCGCTCGGGCAGGCAACTTCACTCTGGTCTTAAATCGTGTTTTATCCCGCGTCACATATTATATTTTTCATATAAGTAGCGTAAAAAATGCTAGTTTTAATGTCTGGAGCCAACCAGACAATATACTATTAAACCTACCTTCACTAGAGTGGCGACGCGCGCATGCTGAAACTGCCGCGCAAAAGCCGATTTTCAACGTTTAATTAAAATTATAAATATTGGAATTACAATTTTACGAATCGAGAACCTTTGTACTCAAATTATCTCCTCTTTCAGAAACGTTTTTAATATTTGAGCTATCACTTATAATCCTTTAGATTTTGCCAAAAATCTGGACAGCTAATTTTTTGAACGGTTTTTTGTTAAAAAGAATTGTAATTTTTTTTTCCAGAAAAAACCCCAGAAGCGTCTTTTTGTAGATACCATTCTGGATCGTATAAGCCATCAACCATATTTTTAGACGTAATTATTTTTCGCAGGAATTCAACTTCTCGACTAGACTACAGACCTGAATAAATACTGAGAAAAAAAATAATACAACAATAGCCCACAGAATCTAGTCAATTTAACCAATCTTACTGGAAAATCGCACTCGGAAAATTATGATTTTGTTGAATTTCGATACTTAATCGGATGGTTAAGAATTTTAACAGGTATCTAACGGTGGTTTTAATTAGTTTATATATTATAAGTAAACAAAAAAAATTAAAATTAAAAATTGAATATCTCCGAAACTATCAATCTGACGTGTAAAGTTTCTACAAGTAAATTGTAGAGCTTACAAAAGCTACAATTATTTTTTTTAAGTCCCCGTTCGACCAATAGATCATTAGTAATAAACAATCAAAGTGTTATAGACACATTCAATGTGCGAGCTGAAAATTATCCGATCGTGGATTTTTTATTTTTAATAGATTTCTAACATTATAAAGAACTTATATTTAAGTTCTCGTCCATATTCTAAAAATATTCAAATGATCAGTTCTTGGGAATTTGGACAATAAATGAAGATGTTAAATTATAGGAATTGCAACGTTTCGCTACAATTTTACAAGTTACAATTTTGCAAGTATAAAAGTATGGAAATATATACAAATAATAATAACAATGTAAACATATTATCGTAGTTCACATTTATCAAAATATTAAAAAATTACAAATTATTTCTAACAGGTCAGCCGGAATGTAAATATTCACTATGTGAGTTCTGAAACTAAGATTGATAAGTAGAATTTCAACGATCTCAACCTAGGGGAAGAGTTGAATGATATTATCAAATTTTAAAGGTGCTACATTAAATGTAATCCTGCAGGCAATCAGTACACCCCCACTCAACCTCCTGAACTCCTCCCGTCGATCACATCTAAAAACAGAATAATGATTATTAAAAATTTCGCTATTAAAAACACCCGATTTAAGCCATGTTTCGGAAAAAGCAAAAAGGTCATACTCAGCCACATAAGTTTTACTATAAATGTCATCCAACTTAGTATTGAAACCTCTAACATTCTGGTAGTATAATGTTAGATCAGTAGAACTAGAGTTTAAGTTGTTGAATTTCTCGGAGTCGAAACTGAAGTATTTCGACGACTCTGAACTATGATCGGTTGACCATTTACCGAAAAATTTACCGAAATCATAATTTTTCGAATGCTTGCCTATAAGTTTTGCAAGACCGGTTAAAACTGAATAGATTCTGTGGGCTATGATAATAATTTTTGTAACTCAAAAATATTTATTTTTAATAATTATCGAGAATATATTTTTTTTTCTGAAGGATATATCAAATTGTTCGCACTTATTTTAACTCAATTGAAGTTAAGCTATTCTTCATTTTACCAATTACTATAAAAGCAAACATTTTATAATGAAAGCAGACATTGATATCCTTCTGTTGAAAAATAACAAATTCAAATGATTCATTTTAAGAAATTTTTTGAGCTAAGTAAGCCTTTCTTGAACTATTATATTTTTTTCTTTCAGTATATGAGGTACCTAATATTATCATCCGATTTTTTAACGGATTCTTTTGTTGATGCTTTCCAAATAGGATTGGAACCAGTAAGCGCGAATTGGTTAGTCATTGGAACACTTTGAATATGATCTGAGATTTTTTTTTGCGTTTCAACTTGCCATTCACTTGCTATTTTATTTATCCTTTTCGTCAAACTGTAAAAAATTTTTAGTTATTTTAAACAAATATTTCTATCAGTAACCGAATGAAAAATTAAAGACCAACCTTCGTGTTCGTATAAAATAAACGACAAATATAGCTATACTACATAAGCAAAAAAATATTGTTAAAGATATCAAAGCCCAATGAATTTGTTGTTGGATATTGTCAACGGTAAATGAGCTTTTTGTTGGAACATCAATCAAATATAATGATTCTGTTAGAAGAATTGATTTCAAATTTGTCACAGTTTGTAAATCACTAGATGCCCTGAAAGTTAATAGATACTTCGATCAGTTAAATTGTAGTAATCGATATTATGTAGTATGGTAAAGAATCAAACTACAAAGAAGCAAGTATTGACTCTTGCGGAATACTATAAAATTTTATTTAATTTGCTGCCATAGAAACTGTCAAGAAGTGATTGTTTTCAATCTCATATTCTAAAATCGAACTATTGTGAGCGACGCTGAGCAACTTAAGTAGAAGATGATTTTCTAAATCTATAAGTTCTGTACTTATTTTAACCACACATATAACTCAATGATTCACGTCTCACGTCTTATGATGTATCTTCAAGGCTCAAATAAACTTATATCTAAATAACAGTCGATTTAGACAATACTTATGACTCTTAAACATGATCCTTGCAATTCGGGATCTAGATAGTTTAACAAGATTGCCCAGTCTTGGCCCAAAGTTGGGTTTTATTGTCTCGGACATTCTATGGTAAACGTCTTGGCCCAGGCTTGGAAAATTATTGGGTTGGCCAAGGCTGATTACCCAGTCTTAGCCTAAGCATGGGCTAATATTGGTGGGCCAAGCTTAGTTACCCAGTACTGGGTCAGGCAAGGGCTCGTCATTTAACTCTGGCAGTTCTTACATGAGTATGTGCACATTCTTATCAAGACCGAGTTAAAAGATAAAGTTGAAAGTAAAAATTAAAAGATAATTTACTAGTTAAAACGATGATGTAACTATCATCGTTTTGACATGTTATTTTTGTTTAAAAATGATAATAAAAAGTGAAAATAAAAAAAAGCTCTTTATGTCCATTCATTTGAAATCCATAAAAACTTGTTTCAACTTTGAGGGCCGATAACTTTAAAACCGTTCCAGTCATGAAAATTTTATATCCAATCAATTTTGTAGAGAATTAAATTTCCTACAAGAAAAATTTGTCAAAGAATTTTTATTATTTATTTTTCCACGTAAAAAAATTGTGTTTTACACTACAATTTTTTGTTCAACGTTATATAAATAAGAAAGAGGACCCCTCTTTGAGGCCAATCTATTATTAGAATTAAAAATTTTCCAAGGCAGGAAAAATTTTTTCTTACCCTAAAGAAACTTTTGAAATGTCAAGCAAAAAAAAATTTTCAAAAAAATCACCCTAGTGTGTATACATTATTTCACAAGTGCAATGTACGATAAATAGAGACATTTGGAGTTCAAAAATCACTAGTTTTGCGTCAAATGAGAGTAGAACCCACCTCAAAAATTTGCAAAGATACTAGAGTAAGTTGTGAACGGCGTATGTCACACAAAATTGGCACTGCAGAATCTGAAAAAACCTCAAAATTTTAATTTTCAAAAAATGGTTTCTCTGGATTAATTTGTTTAAAAAATATTATCATCGAAAGAAATCTCGAAAAAGTGTTTTGACAAATAACTGGAAAAATTTTCGGCGTGAATTTTTTTTTAATGTGTTTCTGTTAAGCTCAAAAACTGGGTCGATTGGCGCGAGCCACATTAAAATCGATAGATTTTTTCAAAAGATATCTAATTTAAAAAAAATTCGGAAAACGGCTGATCCTAAAGGCCACCCCTGCAACTTCCCGCTAATTCCATACTTAAGCACTCAAAATTAGACATTACGTTTTTGAGTTCTTCGAGTTCAAATATATACTTTTCGTGTCATTTTGAGCCCTCCGAGCTCAAAAGTCTGATGGAAGTTTGATAAAACAATATTTTCCGAATTTTTAAAGCGTAATAATTTCTGAATGAATGAACCGATTTTCACGCAGTTGGCAGCATTCGACGCAGTTTTTTAAGTCTCGTGAAGAATTATTAAGTTTAATTTGATTGAAGGAAGAATTTCGTAGTAATTCCGAAAAAATACTTTTTTCGGTTTTCTTTCGTTCACGATATCTCTTAAACGAATTAACAGATTTTGACCGGATTAGGGCGATCGACGTGGTTTTTCAATGTTCAGAGTTAATTAGTTTTTGGAGTTGATCGATAGAGCCGTTTGAAAGTTATTCCAAAAAAACCACTTTTAAAAAAAATTTTAATCACAGTTTTCTTGAGATTTCTCGAAATCTATCGGGCTGAATCAGTTCAAATTGTATTCAAAATCTACACTGATAGAAAGATTTGTTTATAATTAAAAATATTTGTTAATATTTAACAAATCATTTATTAGAGACCACTTTTTAGTCCTTGACAAATATTTCTTAGTATTTAAAAAGAATTATTAACATTTAATAAATAAAAAATGTTAAGAATTATTAACATTTAAATACTAAAAAATATTTGTTTAATATTAAAAAGTGGTCTCAAATAAATGATTTGTTAAATATTAACAAATATCTTTAACTATAAACAAATCCTTCTATCAGTGTAAGTTTGGCCAAGACCATTTGAATGGCGCCAACCGCGATGAAATCAATCAAACCGTTTAAAAGTTATAGGAGGTTTACATACTGACTTACCGATACACAGACATGCAGATATGCAGACATCGTCGCGGGGATAGTCAGGGAAGCTTCCTAGGACCTCAAAACGTCGACATCTGATGAAAACTCAATTTTCGAAAAACGGGGTAAAAACAATAACTTCCCGATTTTCAAATAGTATATAACACACCGAGGGAAGTAAAGTAAGAAATGTCTCAGATCACATGCAATCTTGTGATGTCTCACAAACACGTATGACATAGCGATCGACGAGTGCGAGCGAGACAACGAGTCATCGGTAGGCAGACAGCGATCCCGAATGCGAGCGTGACGGCGGAACGGTGCCGGCCGGAATCGGCGAAAATTTAGATTTAATTTTTGCGTTGTCTATTTTGATTAACACCGGCCCACAAAAAAAAAGTGGTCTGTACTTTTGACCGGACCTATCTATCTTTATGTATTTTGACGCGCTGAATCCGAATCTGAAGTCAGTTTTGCCCGCACACCCTCAAAATTTTGAGTAAAATACCAAAAACCCAAAAATAAGGCAAAAAATTGCGAAAAACTGCAGTCACAGCAATGAAAAAATTTTTTTTAGACCTGGATCACGTATGATTTTTATGTATTTCAATTAATGGAATTTGAATCTAAACGTTAAGTAACCTCTTGAGTCGTCAAAATTTGAAAAAATTGCAAAAAACCCCAAAAAAATTGCAAGAAATCATAAAAAATCGAAATTATCAAAATTAAAAAAATTTTTTGAATTCAGATTGAGTATAATTTTTATGTACTTTGTTTCTCTGAATTTGAATCTGAAGTTTTCTTGTCCCATTGACGTTTTAAAATTTAACAAAATCTCAAAAAATCGAGAAAATTGCATTTATAAATATGAGAAAAAATCTATTAAATACGATCGTTAATGACTTATGGTCATGTATTTTCCTGAATGGAATATGATCTTAGAATTGAAAAACTGAAAAAATTTGAAAATTGCAACACTTCTGTTAGGTCAGCAATTATGATTTACAAAATATCTCTGCTTTTTAAGTTTATGGGGTAGTCGAGATCGGGTAAATCACAATGATTCTGGTTCTCACAATGTGATACGAACACTGTTGATCGATCCGTCTAAATACCTACTACCACCACTTCACATTAAGCTTGGTCTTATGAAGCAGTTCGTCAAAGCTCTTGAAAAAGATGGCAATTATTTTACATATTTGGGAGAAAAGTTTCCGGCTATAAGTGATGCCAAATTGAAAGAAGAAATTTTCGATGGGCCTCAAATTCGGACGTTGTTTCTAGACGATAACTTCGTTTCTGAAATGAATGACATTGAAAGAGCAGCATGGTCGAGTTTTAAAAATGTATCCCAAAATTTTTTGGGAAATAACCAGAGTGAAAATTACGAAAATTTAGTTGAAGAGTTGTTGGAGAATTACGATACTATGGGTTGCTTAATAAATCTTGAATTGCATTTCTTACATTCTCACCTTCATCACTTTCCTGAAAATCTTGGTGACTACAGTGAAGAGCAAGGCGAAAGATTCCACCAAGACATAAGTGAAATGGAGAGTCGATATCAAAGAAAGTGGAATGTCAATATGATGGCAAATCATTGCTGGACACTGAAGAACGATGTACCCGATGACAACAGAAAGCGAAAAGGAAACCCTTTGCGCAGGTCATTCGAAGACGAAAGGGTTTGACACAAGCGAAGAACAGCATAAAATCAGAAAGATCGTTCCTTGTCTTCGCATGGTTTTTAAAAAGATTTTTTGATAGAAATGAATTTAATCGAGCTCAATCAACTTTTTGCTAGATGCCAAAACAAGAAATACCAGAAGAAAACAGAAAACGTAAGAGAAACCCTCTGCGAAACTCATTTGAATATAAAAATTTTCGATACAAACGAAGAACAGTCCGAAATTCGAAAACATGGTTCCGGACTTTTTCCTTACATGCTTTTTTTTTACAGATTTGAAAATTTTGTCAGTTTATCAATTCTAAGATCATATTCCATCCATGAAAATACACCTAAGACATGAACGATCGTGTTGAATAGATTTTTTCTCATATTTATAACTGCAATTTCCTCGATTTTTTTGATTTTTTGAGATTTTGATAAATTTTAAAACGTCAATGGGACAAGACACCTTCAGATTCAAATTCAGTGGAACTAAGTAAATAACAATCATACTCAATCTGAATCCAAAAAATTTTTTCAAATTTTGACGGCTCAAGGAGCTACTTAACGGTTAGATTCAGATTCCGTTAATTGAAATACATAAAAATCTTACGTGATTCAGGTCCAAAAAAATTTTTTCATTGCTGTGACTGCAGTTTTTCGCAATTTTTTGCCTTATTCACGGGTTTCTTGCATTTGACTCAAAATTTTGAGGGTGTACGGGCAAAACTGACTTCAGATTCGGATTCAGCGCGTCAAAATACATATAGATAAGTAGGTCCGATCAAAAGTACAGACCACTTTTTTTTTGTGGGCCGGTGTTGTTATTATTATTCACAGATTCGGTAGAATCTAGCGCCAAGTTCCGTTCAAAGCCGTTGTCAACGGAGCGCCAGACTACCGACTGTGTTTACTGTAAACAGAACGGTATTTTGAAGTTACAAAATTCTATTTAATTCTACGGTACTTTTTTTTCCTACATTGTATATTATAACAGTAATTCATACTTTATTTTACTGTTATTAATTAATTATATTCACTTATAACAATTAATCTACTTAAAATTACTAAATTTAATCAGCACAAACTATAGCAATGCAAAAATTTCGATCCTGACTTTTTTTCGATGGGCAAAGTGATCTGCCAGAGACTAAATAATTCGAGAATGCATAGTAATTCTTCATTAGATGGGAAACTACAGTTAAAAAAAGATATTTCACAGCATGCATCTACACCCCCCAGGGTGCGCTGGAATTATTTTTACATAAACTGTAGCACTGTAGCTTCAAGGGGATAGTTTGTTATAAAAAATGCAGCCAACGCGAGATTTAAGTTGGTACCAATTGTAAATTTTTATT